TTATTTATCAAACTTACTCTTCAATTGTCTATTAGGGAACGGTAGTTTGATAACCGGGCTCTGCACATCTCCTCCCTTATCCTGAGATTTACTCTGCACAGAAACATTAGAAGGGTTAGTATCTGTTTGTAGCCCTGCAGGGTTAGCAGGATTAGCGTTTGGTATAGAGGAATCTAGATCAGGAACTGGTCTATCTTCCTTTGGCATAGGAGGTCCATCATAATGTGAACCACTCCTTAGACTAATTGCATTGACATGATCTGTAGGATGGATAGGTTGTGATGGTAGAGCTCCCTGCTGACGGGATTTTATGGTAGATGAAAGTTGCGCAATTTGATTATCCATGATTTTATTATGGGCTAAAATAGAATCAATTTGCGCATCCCTACTCTCCATATGCTTTTGCATATTAGTAAGCATTGCTCTAATTTCTGTCATGGCAGGGTCGGAAGATGATGAGGGTGATGCTTGGCTTTTCTGGCCAGAATTTGGGTGGTAATATTTTTGCTGTGGTAGGGGTTGCTTTTGTGGTTGTTGTGGAGGTGGAGGGTTTTGTACATTGGTACTCCGGTACGAAAGATATGGATGGTTCCGGTAACCGGCATTATAAGAGTTGGAATATGGGTTGTTCTGCCTATAGGTTTGAAAGGCATTAACTTGTTCCATGGAGCTCCTACAATCTTGCTCCCAATGCCCTACAATTCCACAATTTTCACAAAAATCTTCATTGTTATCAACAGCAGAAACATTAGCTACAGAGTTAGGAGTAGTAGTAAGATTATCTAATTTTTGACAAATAGACGTTAATTGAGCTTGCAAAAAGGATACGGAATCGACATTATGTTTTCCTTTATTTGCAAACCCTCTCGGATTCCCGTATTGGGAATTGTGTATTGCCATGTCTTCGATAACCTGTCCTGCATCATCCACATTTAAATTCATGAATCTCCCACTGGCTGTAGAATCTAGAACTGATTTGGAAGAATTTCCAAGTCCATTGTAGATAGCTTGGATCAATTTCCATTATGCTAGATTGTGGTGGGGGCATTCACTCTGTAAATCCTTCAACCGCTCCCAAGCCTCATATAGCGTTTCTTCGGCCTCTTGAGCGAAATTTTGATAGCACTCCTTAGTACCGTTGTTCTCTCTGCAGGATAATATTTATTATAGAAATTCAAAGCAAGAGTTTCCCAGTCAGTAATACCAAGTGCAGTTTTATTCAAACCATTAAACCATAATTTAGCTTTGCCACATAATGAAAAGGGAAAAAGAATCTCCCTGATTTGGTCCTACGTGACCCCGGCTTGTATAATGGTATTACAATACTGGCAGAAATCTGCGATGTGAAGATTAGGATCTTCACACTTAGCTCCACTGAATTGCTTCCTCTCTATCATAGTGATAAATTGGGGTTTCATCTCAAATTGAACTCCTTCTAGAGCCAGAGTGGGAGAAGTGATGTGTCTATTTTATAGTGTTTTACCCCCGTCCCTTGGTCATAATTAGTAGTGTTTTTGGCTCTTTAGAGCGACTTTTATTACTAATTGGTGTTTTCTAGTGTTTTCGTAGATTTGGTTGACTTTTGCAGGGATTTGCACTTTTGGAGCATTTTCCCGAGATATTATAGGGCAAATACGAGCACTGGAGAAGCAAGACTAGATTTTATAGCCCAGGGCCGGTTAGAGCCATCGAACCGGTGATTAAGGGCTCAGTATATGTGATATCGGAGCATTTGGACCGAGTATTCAAGACACGAAGAGGAAACCCAGATTGGCCCGAATAATTGGAGCCCAATCGTAGTCCAAATAGTGGCCCAAGAGAGCCGCCCGGCCAAAGAGGCTGGCGCCCCGAGGCGCGCCTAGCCGGGCGAGAGAAGCAAAGGTCGGCGCACGATGACGCGCCCGGCCGGGCGCGAGACATTTATCTGATGAGCAAAAAGGCGCGCCCGATCGGGCGCGAGTTATTATTAGGAGTTAATTTCGACGTTTAAGTTTGTTTTAGTTCAGGATTTGTACGGAGTATAAATACTTCTCCGTAAAACGACTATACTCTCTCTCTTCCTTTACTCTCTCTTAGTTATTTTCTTAGATTTTCTCTCTCTACTTAGCTTTTAGATTAATTATCTCTCTTATACTTTTGTTCTTAATCTATTCTTAATTCCAGATTTATTTTGGTAACGATTTCTCTTCCCTTAATCTTAGTTGTTTATTTTATTCCTTTTATCATGTCTTGTTTTATTGCTTTGATTAGTTTAATTCCTATTATGTGTGAGTAGTTTTATTTCTAGGGTTTATGGGGATCCATAAATAATATGAAGGGGTAATTTATTGTTGTTAATTGTCAATGCTAGATTAATTTCCTATTGATTGATTTAATGCTCTGTGACTAGATTAGGCCTGATCTTTTATGCATGAGTTTGACAATATTGATTCGAGATTCGACAGATGAGAATTGATGTTTAGGTCTAGTTCCAATACGCAGGTTAATTTATAAATGGTTAAGTCGAGATTCGAAATATGAGATTTAATACCGGTAAATTAATTGTGTGATTATAATACGTAGCGAAAGCCCTTTATAATCTGATTAATGTATGCATTGATGAATATTTTTATATTTTACCCTGGAATATTATTTATTGGTGAACCTATGCCCTAGATCCTTTTATATATTGTTTTCTCCTTATTCTTTATCTCCGTAGTTTAGTTTATTATTCAAATTTATATATTGGTTACTTCATAATCTAGATTATATTAGTTAATTAGGAATAGAAAGACTCGTTTCTCTGTGGATTCGACCCTACTTCCCTATCTACATTAGTTAGAGGATTTAGGAATTACTTTTGATTTGGGGATACGACTTTACCTTGTCAGTAAGGTGCGGGAAATCTGTGAGCTTCGGCTGCGAGTCGTCACTAAGTTTCTTTTGGGTCGTCATCTCTGATTCTAAATTTGAAGGAATTTCTGCATCACTAGAATCAATGCCAACCTGTTGTGTTTTGCCATCACCTACAAGACGGGCTTTATGCCTCTCAAAAAAACCGTCTGATTTCACTTTATGAGTAAAAATCCACATAGAACGAATAACATTAACATCAGGCGGACGGGGCACCAACTCCAAACGTCTTATTATTAATAAGAGCATTAAATTCATCATCCATAGCCATTTTCCAAATCGGGTCACGTAAAGCAGAAATGGGGTTACGAGGGAGAATAGATTTCGTAACATTAGAAACCATATTATTGAAATTTTTTTATTTCGGGTTTAGCTTAACAATTCCATTTTTGCTTCGTGTGACAATAGAAGGAGGGGGTGGCTGTGGGTTGTGATTTTGTGGGTTGGTAGCATGTGGGTCGAGAGTGTGGGTAGCTCCCAAGGGGGCTGTGGCTGATTGAATAGGCCCACAGTCCACCTGGGAACTATTCTGCCCAACAATAGCCTCGGTGCTATGGGGTTGGGTAGAAGAGATTGGAGAAGTTGGGTACCGAATTGGGCTGCCAGGAGAATTAGAGTGTGGCCCAATTCGGTTTAGGGTTGGAGAAGAAGGAGGAGAGTGTGGAAATGGGCTGCTGGTGGGTGAGGAAGGTTGCGGCCTAGGTCTTCTTTGAGGAGTTGAAATGGTAGGTATGCTGGGCTGGTGGAGGGTCCGCGTGGGACTGCCCAACAATTTGCATATGGTGAATGGTATATGAACTAAGACCATCGTTCAAAAAATCATAAGTATGAGAATTTGGAGTATTTAATTTAGCAAAAGGAAACACATTTTCATCAAACACAACATGTCTACTTATTATGATTTTACGAGAAGATAAATCATAACACTTATATCCCCTATGATTCGGTGGAAATCCCAAAAATACACAAGGTGTAGATCGAGGTTGGAGCTTATTAATGGTAGTCGAAGGAAATAAGGGATAATATAAACACCCAAAGACACATAAGTGAGAATAAGATGGTTCCTTTTGATAAAGAACTTGGAGAGGAGACTTGTACTCTAGTAATTTACTCGAAGAATATTATGGAGATAAGTTGCCATGTGTAAAGCATGATGCCAAAAAGATGGAGGTAAAGAGGCATGAGAAAGAAGAGTACGAATTATATTATTCAATGATCTAATTTTTCTCTGCCTTTGCATTTTGTGATGAAGTAGTAGAATTTGAATAAATAAAAGGCAACTTAATATGTTTTCTGAGTACACAAGAATGGCAAACACTAGGATTAGAAGAGTAAGTACATTCAATGTGTTTATTATTACTAAGAGTTTTTAAAATAGAAGATCCCGGATGTCCCAAACGATCATTCCAAAAAGAAAAGGCTAAAGTTGTGAAAGTTGATGGAGAAGCGCTTGAGAGGGTGGTAATGAGTGGATAAAGGTCCCCTTGGCTATCACATCTCATTATGGGCATCCCCGTCCAATAATTCTTCACAGAAAAACCATAAGGGTCAAACTCAACAGACACACAATTATCAGTTGTAAACTTACGAACAGAAATTAGATTCTTAATGAGTTTGGGAGCATGTAGGACATTAGAAAGGGACAAAGGTGGGTTTGGGGATGGCAAAGCAGTGTTTCCACAACCACAAATCATAGTATGACCACTACCAACAATAATACCATTATGATGATTGCTCAAATTAAAATACGACGAGAGATTACCGTTGGTGGATGTCATATGAGAAGTGGCACCGGCGTCCATGTACCACGAGGGATTGGGCTGTTGAAGGGACATAGTATGCATAGCCGCTTCAATGTCAGTCGGGGCATACAAGTTGGATTGATGAGAAGAAGCATAAGCCTGTTGTGGACATGGACCAAGTAGCCCAGATTGATGTCCCTGCCTTACTAGGCCTTGAGGTCTGGCAGCCCACCCTTGGGTTGGGTAAGGGCATGGGGGAGTAGCCCATTGTGGCGCCCAAAACCAAGGAGGGTACTGCCCTTGCCACGGAGAAGAGGAGAACAACTGCCCCTGCCACGGAGAAGAGGAGAACAACTGCCCCTGCTGCTATCCTGTGCCGCCGCGGCCTGCGCCACCTGCCCCGCCGGAATTATGACCACCACCGGCGCCGACACCACGACCACCACCCTGGCTGTTCTTCTTGCTAATTTTTTTTTTGTGATTTTTCCCCCTTCCACGAGCATGACCCGAACCTTCAGCACCCAAGTCCGGTTCACGTGAACTCGCCACCATGGCCGAAGCCGAGGACGTCGATGTCCGTTTGGCCAAACCCGCTTCCTCCAATGTTAACATCAAACGGGCTTGATAGAATTGAGGGAGAGGATTTCTTTTCCGAATCAAGGTTGCAACCCCGGAATATGCTTCCGTGAGGCCAGAAACAAGTTGAAGGACAAGGCGGTTGTTATCTATCGGAGCCCTAACGTTTTTCAGCTGGTCGGAAAGGCTCTTGAGCCGTTGACAATATGCCGATGCATTAGGGAAGTCCTCCATTTGAGTGTTTGAAAACTCATGTTCAAGGGTAACGACATGGGATTTTTTATTATCCTGGAATATTTCTTTCAAACGATCCGAAGCCTCCATTGTCGTTGAGTTAGGTTCAATGATAGTGTTCAAAAGGTCATGAGAAATGGTGGAATAAATCTACCCAAGGATGGCCGCATCTAACGTCAACCAGAGTTCCTTTCCCTCATCCGTAGAAGGTGCGGGTGGCTTCTTCTTTGGAGGAATAATATGATGAAGGACCTTATGAGAACGAGCATGAACCTTGAATAGCTCCGCCCATGTGGAGTATTGTAAATTCTCCATTTTGAGTGTGATGGGAATGATACTTTCGATGTTGTTCACAGTTAGAGCGGTTTTGAGTCTTCCATGGCTGTTTATGAACAGAGGGAAGAAGAGAAGAAGATGAAGAAGATGAAGAAGAGAAGAGTAGGAAGAAGAGGCGGAGCAGTAGGATTTGCAGTGGAAGTAACCCTAACAATCTGATACCATGAAGGAAATTATTTCGGTGAGTTTTCCATTAGACTTGCTGTTAATATATACACATTACAATCCTTAACTAAAGCCACTAATTAAGGGGAATCTATACATCAAAATAAATGCTAAGATACAAGTTAGGAAAACAGAATATTTACATATATACTAAGTCAAAGATATATTAATTCTAATATATCTTAACAATTATAATTGCATGCAGATAAAAAACTTATACAAAGACACTTAAACATACAAATACATACTTAAACAATATTTGTATCAAATTTCTACCCTAATTTCAAGTAAACAAAAGGAAATTACAACAAATTCATCAAAAAATCACTCTAAAAAAACTGCTAAATACACAAACAAATGAACGGATAAAAGGAAATGCCACGCTCCGCATGTCACGAGATATGGGGCGTTCTAATCGAAGGCTCATACTTTTCGGCCTTATTACGGTAAGGCCAATGCACTAGCCAGACAGTGTGGTGGTGAGCACGCTGTGTTGTAAGCTAAGATGTTCACCTTGTAGACGGAGGAGATACATAAAGTGTGTCGCGCGTGATTCATAAGATTCTATAAAAGCATCAGTCGATTATTTCACTTAGCCTGCTTCTCCCATAACTTTCACTTTCTGGACCAACGCGGATCTGCCCTCGAAAGTCTCTCCGCATTTTGAGAATAGAGCATGCAAAATCGAGCAATGGATCTTAAAAAATACATGATTATAATTGCATGTTGATCAAAAACTTACACAAACACACTCAAACACAAAAATGCATCCAAAAATTTATTGAAACACATATAAATTTAAACATAAATTTTGTTTAAACTTGTAGCCAAATTAAATTAAATAAAACGAAATTAACACAAATTCATATAGAAATCACTTTGAAACATGATATATTTCCAAAAAGTTAATAAAAATTACAAATCAAGAGTTTTTTAAATGAAATTACAGCAAAAAAAACTTCTATTGAACTTCTTCTACTTCAATTTCTAAAAAATACAAACAAATAAAAAAAAAACCTGAATATTTAGGAATTTGAACTTCAAAACACTTTGATTTAACTTCTTCTACTTCAATTTCAGCAAATTTTTACTAAAAACAAATAAATAAGTAAGATATTGCTACAAAAACAAATGAAATTGTATTAGCTTCAAAGTATCGAAGTATACCTAACTTTTGCCAGTTTCCCCTAATTTCCTCCAAAAGAATTTTCAACAATGAAGAAACGTAGATAATGTAAGATGAATTGTGCTAAAATAGTGAAATTGAGCAGTTATCAATATAATGGTGATTTTGCGGGTTTTTGGAATTTTTTCAGCGTTTTCGAGGAGAGGAAACATGGCGGAGTGTAGGGAATATTTCAAGCATTATCCCAAAATTGAACCCCACTGTGATCATACAATTACACATGGGCGTCCAAAGGGAAAGAAGATAGAGCAAAAGAGTCGCCAACAAGTTTTAGGAACTTGTAAACCGTTCGAGGTGAAGGTTACACCCCTTAACGATCTAGGAGATCGTCAACTCCAATAGGTCTGGAACCATGACTGGTAGTTCGGGGATGAAGGTACAAATCCATCCTAAAAGAGATTGAACATGCCCTAATAATAGGCTCTACTTTATTCTGATCGTATTCATGTGCGCTTTATGACTAACATGCAATCAATAAGATTAATCCTAAACCTGTTTATCTATGTTGGTTGAATATTAATGCACAAATAAATTTATTACTGGCGATCACTTGAATTATAATCAAATTGACCTTAAACAAGATTGGTAATTATCTTATTAAGCGTGATTACAAGTACCAATCCCTTTAAACATGCATAAAAGGCGTGATCAAACAATAAAAATAAATATATCAAGCAACATAATAATAATCATAATCATCATAGTTTTAATAAAAATCACAATTAAAATAATCATGTTAAAGCATAATAATAGCAAGATCCTAGGCATGATACTAACAAGATTAATAACAAACCCTAGCATGTCATTAAACAATAAAAATCAAAGCTTATAGCCCTAACATGATAGTAACATGAATATTAGGAAAGAAACTATGAAGCATCACATGAATCACAATTGTCATATTTGATATTAGAAATTATAGTTGTTACCCTAAACATGATACTACGAAGATCAAAACACCCTAACATGACACTAGAAATCATAATAACAACCTAGACATGATTTCTATATCATAATAACAATGCAAACAATTAAAGCACTTACTTGGATGCCTCGTATCTCTTTATAATAACAAAATACACACGTTAGTAACTTCAAGGAAAGTATAAAATCAAACAATTAAATTAAATAATTGAAAGAAAGAATAAGAAAGTTTAGACTAGATTTGGGACCAAACCCTCAGAAATAAAAAACCTTTCACGTCTAGGGCGAAGGCAACTTCGAACAATGCTAGGTGTTTCTAGATCATGTGAATGCGGAATTTTGTATGTAAAAAGGTTGGTTTAGAAAGAGGGAGAGAGAATTAAGAAATTCTTGATGACAGTTGATGATAATTAGATGAGAAGGATTGATGGAAATTTATGATTGAAAACAGAATTTTAAGAGGCTATTTATAGAGAAAATCAGTCAGGTGGATAAAAAAAATGAATCAGAGTTTCAACGAGAATAAAAAACAATTTGCGCCAGACGCTGGTCAATAGCGCCAAGCGCTGAAGGTTAGCGCCAGGCGCAAAGCCTTAGCGCCAGGCGCTAATGCTTGTCGTCAGGCGCTAATAATCAGTTTCACCCGTTTTTGTTTTTATCATATCTTTTTATCCAGAAGTTTAAATAAGACATATAATATGTAGTTGGAAAGTTCTTGAAGTCTAATTTCCAACCCAATTAAAATCAGATTAATATCTTTTGTAGACAAAAAGATATGGCCGAAATAGTGAAAGGGTGTCAGTTTTGGATAGAGTTTCATATCTCATTCATATCTTTTTGTTATAGCTCGGAATTAATGTTATAATTTATCATTGGAAAGATAATTTCAAGATCTATCCAACCATATAAAACTTGGATAAATATTATGAGGAACGAAAATAAAATCAGAATATATTCCACTTCGTACAAAACAAGGATTCTAAAAAGGAGTAGTTTTATTCAATTTCAAACTCTTTGAAACATAATTATCAATCCTAGCTCCATTAAGATTTAAGAGAACATGATAGAGTATTCTAGAAGATTATAATCAATCCTAATATCTTTAGGAATGATAATTAATAATAGGCCCTCCTCTAGATCATTGAGCCGCATATAAAAACCAAATCGAGCCTAGTTTAGTATTTTGGCCATAACTTCCTCATTATTCATCGGAATTGGGCTTATAATATATCGTTGGAAAGGTCTTTTCAACCCCATCCAGATACACTATTATTGGACCCTTATCATGGACCAAACTAAACTGGAATGCACGTTTTTCATAAATAAGATAAGAAAAGAGATATTTTCAAAAACAGAAAGAAGATATTTTAATAAAGACATCCTCATCACTAGTCTTTTTACACTTTCGCTTTGTTCGATAATCAAATGACATGAAAAGTATTCATCATTGGGTTTGGTTTTGGGGAGACACATTTGGGTGTCTACAGAATCCCCCACTTTGACTGAGTTTGGAGAAACGCAAGTTTCGAAAACAAAAGTCAAAGTATTGATAGGGATGGAGAATGATTCAGAATGTTCTGCGATTCTAAATCATTCTTGTAACGCCGATACCAGCAAACTAGCATTAGTTAAACAGATAAGAGAGTTAAGAAACGCGTATCTTGCACCGTTGAGCACACGTCTCTGAAAGTAACCGATTTGTTGCTGCATTTGTCTTTGGGACAACCTTCCATAAGCTAGGGAACGCCATCTTGCTGTTTTGATGTTCATTCGTCTCTGAACAATAGAGCTTTTTGGATATGTTCACGCGTCTCTGAACAAAGAGCTTCTTTTTAATATGAACTTCTAAATGATGTGTCCACTCGTCTCTGAACAAATACCTTGATAATAGGATGCCCACGTGTCTCTGAGCAAAAGAGCTTGATAATAGGATGCCCACGCGTCTCTAAGAAAAAGAGCTTGAAAGAAATGTCCACGTCCACGCATCTCTGAAAAAAAGAGCTTGAAAAAAATGTCCACGCGTCTCTGAACAAAAGAGCTTGAAAGAAATTTCCACGCATCTCTGAACAAAAGAGCTTGATGATATGTCCACGCGTCTCTGAACAAAAGAGCTTTGATGATATGAATGTTTGTTGTGATAATAATTCCGAAGAAAACTTCTGAATACCAACGCTTGTCGATATTCAAAGCTCGCTTGAACTTTGCTCCCGCTATGCCAGTACGTCGGCGCTTTTGCTGCTTTTGAACCATTATGTCGGTGCCTCTGCTGTTTATGAACCAGTATGTCAGCGCCTCTGCTGTTTATGAACCAGTATGTCGATGTCTTGCGAAGAGCCAATGCTTAGGCGCTTTAAGCTAAGTGAGACGATCTTTTGTCAGGTCGATCACTTATTGCGATTGTAATCAAGTCGACTACTTAATCATGTCAAATTGCTTGTAGGGGCTAATTGGCGTACCAAGGAACCCGAAATTGCTGAAA